ATGAGGTACCCTGGTAATTCGATTTCTTAAGTTGTCTTCTTTCTGAGGTAACAAACAGGCCAGCTGTATTAAATCAGGAAAGCAGTCTACATGAATCCATTCAAATGCTGGCCATTCGATGCATCCCCTAGACCAATAGTATCACACAGACTCAAATTGGTATGAACCTCATTTGCAAAATGTTAGTTGAAATTTTACAGAAAGGATCACGTTCCAAATGTATAGAAAATGAACAAGAAACAATCACGAGAATATAGCAGAACTTACCCTGCATACAATTCAAGCAAGGAAGTAGAGATCACGGTTCCGGTTGCCTGCGTTACAGAAGAAAATGGACAAGTTTCTATTGCTTTTTGGTGCACAAGAGGAAGCAATTCTGCCAGCATTCTCAGTAAAACATCAACATTCCAGCGTTCTCGTTCACCTAAAGCACGAAGATGCGACTCCACCGATCCTTCAACACCCGAAAGAGGTGGACAACGCTTCACATTGAACAGATAAATTAGTGACAAAAAAAAATGTGAAAGTTCTCAACACGGACGGAGATAGAAGAGGGTGAGATAAAACACACCTGAATAGAGCCCAAAATATGAGACAACAATACTCTTAAGATATGGTCTAATTTGTTTCCCCACTTTATAACTGCAGGAACCAGTTCCTTCAATGAAGTTTCCACAACCACACCGGCCGGATCACAGATTAGCTGGAACATCATCTCCTCTACCTGTAGACAAACAAGATTGAGTATTATATAAAGAAACTAGTGTCCTAATACTTTCTTTTTCCCTCTTATGAGTCATCCTATGGATGGCAAGGGGAAACGGCTCCACTCCCCAAACCATTTTATCAACCTGTTCTAGAGCTTACATTGTAGCAAATTCTCTCAAGTCAGAATTCTTCTCCATGATTGCCTCGTAGCATATTTAGTGAGGCTGACCTTGTAATATTTGTCGATGTTTGGAAATAGTGGAAGCAGCATAGCAAGATTATGAACAGCAGCCTCCCGCACAACAGTTGCAGAATCTTCAATCAGTTGTTGCACAATAGACAGAATAAGAGAATCACGAATCTCAGGCCGAACAAATTCTACTAGCTCTCCACATGATTGAGCAACAAGTAGTCTACGCTCCTCATACATGTGATTAATCTGATATCAAATTGAAAAGATAAATAAAACATTCCTTCAAAAAGTACACAAAAGTTACTAATGATATCTCCTCCTGCAAAGTAGACTGCAAAACTCACTTGTTCCCAGCACTGTGGGAGCAACTCTGTTTCTGTCCTCATCTCTCCAACACTCTTAGCAAGGGTAACACATGCCTAAATAGTAGACAAAAGCTTCAGTTTGAATAAATTTAAAAAGCAACCTCCAATAAAATAGTTGAAAATATTATAAAAAAAAAAAACCCCACATCCATAATGATACGTCTTTGCTGTTCATCTGGACGTTTGATTAAATTAAACAGCGTGTGAGTCAAGGAATCCCTAGTACTGCTATCTGGATGACGCTCAATTGCACACATTATAAGGGGAAGAAGCTCCTGAAAGCCGGAACAAACGTCAAATCAGCATATGGAACTGAGAGACAGATTTTTAATATATCACATAGAGACTGAAAAGAACCTCACGATGATTGATCAAAACATAAGGAACTATCTTTGGTAAGGCATCTGCAAGTATCTGAATAGTCCCTAAACCCTGCGAACAACAACCATAGTTCAGACATCTAAGTTCAAAAGATGAACATGAAAGATTTTGGATAGGGAATAGAATTGCAGCCAAACCCGAGGAGAAGAAAACATATGTAGCCTGATTCAAATGTTAACTGGCTAAGGAACTGATTGATTACCTTTTCAAGAACAGCTTCATCTCCTAGGTTGTCTGCTTTCACAGATAGCACATTGTCACCTGTCAGTTGCTGACCATTTAGTTTGGAGATGCTTTCTTTATTTTCCATACAATTATTATTATTTGATGAAACTATTGAAAGTTCATGCAAGACTTCCTCGGATTTGCTCAGGTTGTTACCAGAAATTTGAGTGGGCAGTGACAGAGTATCCCCACTATCTACAACCACATTACCTGCATCTGACACATGAGATAAATTGTTTTTGTCTTCATGTATCTCAACAACTCTTTCTTCCGGCTTCTCAGTCACTTCCTTCAAAACTATTTGTTCTACAGGATCCGAAGAATTCATATTTTTTGCTTTTAAATTCTCAATTTCAATTTGCAGTAACTTTATTTCCTCCTTGTATGTTTCAGACGACTGTAGTTGGCCAGGATCCGCATCATTAACAACTGAGTACGAATTAGAATGAGATCCCGAACTGTGCATTTTTAGTGCAGTGATTTCAGATCTGCAGTCATTGAGTTCCTTTCTCTGGTGTTCCCAGGATTTCTTTAAATCTTGTACCTAAAGATAAGTGCATGTAATTTTATGAATTAGGAAAAAATTAAGCAGCAGCTCCAAAGTGTAATGAGGGGAAAATACCAGTCTCTCTTTGTTCTTAATTTCCTTCTGCATGGTCTCTAAAGACTTTGTTAATGCACCTATCTGACCCTCTGCCAAATCCTTGTTTCTTAGCAAGCATTCCTTTTCATGATTTAATTTCTTGTTTGCTTCAAGCAAAGACTCATTCTGTCTGATCATTGCAATTTTTTCCTGTAAATAAGACACCTAGTAGTTATACAAGACTGAAATTCAGAAAACAGGAAAATCCAAAGTTATTTCAGTACTATATGTAAGCCTCAACTGACCAAGGACAGTTAATTCTTCTGTTTTTTTTTTTTCCAATAAACAAAAAGACTAATGAAAGTACAAAAGAGATTGTAAAAAGGCAAGGCCCAACTAACAAGGAAACTATACACACGTATATCCCCCCAGCCACTGGTAATCAATGAAGCAAAAACACTTCAATTTAGACAACACGTTTGTCGGACACTTCGACACTCCAACACATGTTAAGCATAATAGACACACGTCAGACACTAATTGAATAAACCAAATACGAGCTCAACACTTTGGCTTGTGTATTGTCAAACACTTGTTACCAATCCCAAGTATTTAAAGTGACACATACTTGTTAGACAACACGTTTGTCGGACACTTCGACACTCCAACACATGTTAAGCATAATAGACACACGTCAGACACTAATTGAATAAACCAAATACGAGCTCAACACTTTGGCTTGTGTATTGTCAAACACTTGTTACCAATCCCAAGTCTTTAAAGTGACACATAGTTGTTATCAATAATATATATGTGTGCGCGTATATTATACTATATTCCAAGTATCCTTAATATCAATAAACCAATCTAAGACAATATGCATATTCCTCTCTAACAGATAAAACTATAGAAAATCTTAAGAACCCTATTAATTCTTTCTTTCCTGGCTGGATTGAGTTATCAGCCTACTTGAACTGCATGCTTGCAACCACGCCTCCTAATATGAAAACTTCAAAAAGTAAACAAGAAGTATTTCTAAATTTGGAACAAAAAAGCTTTGAGATAAACACTTTGGATTATTTGAGAAACCTTATTAACCTAGTCACGCAATACATTTCACTTGAACTGTAGCTGTATAACATGAAGCAGTAGTGTCTGACTTTAACTATTGCTTTGATGGAGCAACGTGAAAGGTACAATGGGATATTAACATTTATCAGAAAAATTATCATAAAAGCAACTTGCACACACTTGTACCAGGAATTACCTCAGCAGCTTCTGTGGTGGAGGATAGATATTGATAGTAGTAGTGACGCAGGGCATCTGATACACATGCAGGTGAGTTCGGCCAAACATCAAGGTTTTGGTCTGTAACCTGCATGGGAAAGGGTTAATATATAATTTCAAACACCTATGGATGCCTAAATACAGGACACGCGATCATAAACCTACCCCTCAAGACAGACTCTTCGTTTTTCTTTCTTTATTATTATTTTTTTTAATGAAGATAGGACATTTTAGTACAATTGAAAAGCGGTTGTTTAGTCCTTTTGGGTGGGGTTTCCTCTACCCAGCTCTTAAGTGGTTCCTTTTGTCTTCCTCTTGGAATATACAAGTTTCTTTATCTAAAAAGAAAAAGATAGGACATTTTTTTTTGTTTTACCAAAAAGAAAAAGGAACAAAAGAAGATAGAAGGAAAGAAAACAATTCCCCTGGAACAAATAATTACAGGCCGACTGTAAATATGACATAAGTCACAGAATAAATGTTGAATGTGATTATGTGGATAGCCACTTAAAGTAGTAATTGGAAATATGACAAAAAGTATAATACCTGTCAATTAATTATTGATTATGATAATCATCTCAATTAATACCTGAGTATCAAATCAACAATTACCATAAAAAAGGTAAAAGCAGACAAATTGTTAATATAAAGTTAATTGGTGATTGGTGAGTTTAAAACAAAAAATTACTTTTACAAATATATATATTTGTGAATATTTTAGCAAATTAAGCCATCCAAAGAAATGTTCCTATAATTCTGGCAGGAACACAAACATTCCTTGCTCTACACTCAAACCAGTTGTCTGTGACATTAAACAGTTACTAAAAAGCTCGAAGAACAACTCAACAACAATAAACCCATAATCTTGCATACCTCTTCATAAAATGTCATTGCTGTAAGTCGATACCCTGCTATAAGCAGATATTCCTTCACAGCACAATTTAGATCTTGACGTTCATTGCTTTTAAGCGGACCCAAGTCAGAGGAGGGATTTCTCTTTTCTTGATGAATCTCTTGCCGACCTCTAAAGGTAGAATCAGCCTTTGAATCTATTATATAACGATCCAGATAAATAACTTCAGGAAACAGTTGATAGCAGATAAGCATTAACTGATCAAATAATTAATATTACAATAATTATCCACATACTGCAGATGGATATTGATTCAATACTAGTCTTACTGTCATATGACTTATACCCGCTTGGGTTTGAGTTTTTTTCTTGTTTCTGAAAGCCTATTTCACTTTGTTGAAATCATAAAGCAAGGATTTCGGGCGTCCACAAGGGCATCCATCACCCCAGTTGATAAAAAGGCTACTATCATTGCCCTAAAAACCTAATTTCTTTTTACATATTGTAGCAAGCCAGCAAGGTGGGGCCATTAATGGCGTGCACTAGAATTTTCTATCTTATTTTCAAATATGCTAATCTTTTAAGGGGCACTAGAACTTTCTTTCTTTCTTTTCAATAAAAGCTCAGGTTTTCATAAAAATGGCCCTTTTTTCAGTTGTCAGTTTAGCATTGCCTTAGTATTTAGTAGAAAAAAACCAAATTCAGTCATATTGATGAGAACAAACTTACCACTCAACTCAATTGAATGGGGCTCAGTCTTTTTCTGCAATTCACTCTTCAATTTTGAAATGTCTTCTTGAGCTAAGCGCAGCTCATACTCACCGATAGCTAACTTTTCTTCTATTGCTTCTTTCTCCTCCAACAAACTTTGAGGGTCTGCAACTGCTCTCCAATAGGAAAGAGAGAAAAAGACATTGCATCCAGAAACGAGATTAAACAACAATATCATGAGTGATACTCAATGGTAATTTAGTCTTGGACTGTAAAGAAAGCAGAATAACTCTAATTTATTTAACAAATTCCTACTTAACCATACGAATAAAAGATAAATTGATGTTAATTATTTTTATTAAAAATATTCATTAGAGAGCAAGAGAACAAATATAAAAAGCGAGATAAGGTACCAACCCAAAAAGAAGCCAAAGGGATTACATAAAAGATCCTTAAGTTGGCATTTAAAATTACTAAAAAGACAATTTGAGTGAACTCCAAAAAGAAGCCTTAAATTCAATGGTTTCTCAAATCTCAAACTCTCCTTTGCTCCTTAAATATTACAAGGTTATTTCCAACTTTACCTCCCAAATTCACAGACTTGGAATGTATTGATCTGTGATGGCAGAAGAACTTTCATAAGTGACAGAGAAGCTCCAGTTCTGTGGAGGGCTTGGAGGATCTAATTAATAAGATTGGACAAATGTTTGAACGGGGTGAGGAATGGATGATGGAAAAAGGGAAGGTGATGGATGCATATCAGAGAGAGATGTGCCTGACTTGCCATGAGATTCAGGATTAATGCAACTCAAAATCGAGAAATAAAGCTTGAGATGCCAATTTTCATGGAACGGTTCAAATGGGTGGATATATCATGCTGAGCATAATTGTTTGGTGAAAGAGAAGAAACTCAAAGGAATGACGCAGTGTATGGAGGGCGGAGCTCTAACTTGGCATCAGCGAATTCAGTAGGAAGAAAGCAAACAACCCTTCAAGTATGGATCAAACTGAAGAGAATATCATGAGCTCTTTGAAATATTAACACACCACTTATTAACGTTCTAAAGCATGCATTGGAGAGGCTATTGAATAGGTTGAAGAATAAAATTCGGGAAATAACTCAACATTTCCTACACCCTCCTGTAGATAAAGAAAGTCTAACATTTCCTATTTTACTAAAAGATAAGCGCTAGATATTTCTTTAACATTTAATTTTAGGACTTCATTGAATTACCTTAGTATAAATTGATTATGGATAATTTACCAGACTCTAAAGAAAGACCTATTGTACTCAGTTGATGGTTAGGTAAAAGTCTAAGTAGAGATAGATCGGATGCAACATGGATATAACACATCGTTTTCTCTTAGAAAAGAATTAAGTTATTTCTCTCTTATTTGTGTGGTTCTTTTTTCCTAGAACAGGATTTCTTTCCCAGCAAAGTATTTCTTTCTCCGTACAGGTCTGGTTTTAATGTGATCCTGATTAAAAAAAAAATACAACTAGGTATGGCCTCTGTTTCTCCATTGGTATCCGAGTTGAACTTTGAGTTGTCTACGGCTATAATCGAATTATTACTTGTTCAAGCTTATTCTCTCTGCCTCTTTCTGTCTAGCTATATTTCGGCAACTTCTGTCACATTATCGAAGATCCATAAGTATTCAACTAGTTTTCTCAGCCGTAATCTCTATCCACTACCTTACGTAACACGACAGTTAGAAATCCTGCATAAACCTTCCGCATAAGCTATAAGCAACACATGCGATCAAAATTAAGAAAAACATTAACCACCATGGTTAGCCAGTGGTCAGTAAGCTGGATAGAGGTGCACACAAGCCTATGAGACGAGATTAGTCGAGTTGTGCATATCAAGAAAAATTAAGCAAAACGATCTAAAACTATGAACCATTAAAAAGACAGAAAATTTTAGGCTCTCCTAAATGAAGCCAAATCTTTTCTGATAACAATACGATTCATTTCCTCCATTTATTGAACAAAAAGAGAAAATCCTAATGTCAGGTCTAAGGATCAATGTAGAATCTCGTAACAGCTTGTTGCTGGAGGCCGGAGGCAAAAACTGGAATCGAGAATCTGCAAGATCCCGGTCTCAATTTGTATCGATTAAACAAATTATCAAAATTCCAGACAGCAAATAAAACTAATGTTCTGCGTCAATGCACACTGTCGAATTACCATTGTTACGAGCATAACAGAAAGATTTGAAGCTCGAAACTTAAGATTGAGCGCCAATTATAAAACCACCCTACTTCAACCATATTTGAAAACAGTAGAAATCAACTGCCAACCACATTCCCATAATTTCTGTAACCTAACCGGTAGAAGGATGACGAGAGTAAATACACAAATGAAAAATTGGAAATCAGGAGAACAAGAAGATGGAGGAGAAAGAGAAACCTCGAAGAGAATTAAAGCGAGTGATTTGATCAGGAGGGAAGTGAGCAGGATCGGAGAAGAACTCCTTGAGGCGAATGGCATGCGCATCCCGGCCATCGTCGAGAAGCTCGTGTAGCAGCTCAAATGCTGTTAACACATAGTTCTCCTCCAGCAAAAAGTTGACGACGCAATTGCACAGCGACGACCTTTCCACGTCCATCGAAGTTAGCCGCAGAATCATTCACATACTACCTCAACTCAACGACAGCCATTGTTCCAGCTCAAGCTCCAGCTCCAGCTCCATCTTCATTACGTCGAAATTGAATTGAATGAGAGAGGAAAAAGCAGCAGCGAGCTCTGGTAGATCTCACCTCCCCACTCTGATATGCGTAAATCGGTAATTTTTCGATCGTCGTGCTTTCCCAAGAAATTCATCTTTTCTTTCTTTTCTGTTACTTATTTTTTGTCATGAATGGTACAGTTTATTCACATTTAAAATTTAATCCAATTAAATCAAAATGAATTATTAAAGATGAGGTGGACAAGTAAAAAACAACAACATTTAAATATATTTATACAAATAGCTCAACTAGTTAATTCAATCAATTTTCGATTTAAAGGTCCTTGAATTGAATCCTCGTCGATATAAAGACATTAGTTTTTCAATTTAATTTTGAGAATGTCTCATCTCTCAATTCTTTAATTGTAAATCGATCAGATTTAACCATAGATTTACAAAATTTTTAATTTCATCCATTTATATTAAACTTTGGTAGGTATGGTAATCTTTATCCTAAAATTTAAAAGTTGTTACCATTTTTACCTTAAAATGTTGGCAAAAAATACTCTTGTGTATCAAATAAATTATAAAATATATATTTATAATGAAATTAATATGATGCTAAAAAAGTAACGTTAGAATTTTATTCTTTTTTATTGAAATTTACTAATTTTGGCAGGGTTATTTAATGGTTAATTTTATGCTTTAATCAAACTTTTTTTTTGGTAAAACTTTTTTTCATGAAAAATTAAATATAAAAATTGTAACACTTATCCAAGTTTGAAATTTAATTTAACGAAACTAAAAATTTATAGTGAACATCGATACAACTTGTAAAATTTAATATTAAGAAATGAGTTTCTTCTTCTTTTTATTTTTTAAATATATTTAGAACTTTTGTAATTGCTAAGTATCCTATAAAATGAATTATGATTGGATCATAGTGTAAGTGAATAACATATCTATTATTGTTGGGGGTGTTTATAGATTGGATTGGACTGGGTTAAGAGAGTTATTTGAACCTACTCGAAGGGTTGATCAAATTAGAGAATCGTCAGAACTGAACACGACAATCAATCTAACTCAACCCAACTTTTATATTTTCCAATGAAGTCGTATTGGATCGTCGGATTGAGACGAAAGAGGAAAGAGAAGAGAGCCGAACAAACAACAAACAGATAGAAAAATGAGTCGAACAAAACCCTATATATATATATATATATATATATATAGTTTGTTAAGGATCCCAAGGGACGGTTCATAATAGTCATGGACTACTCTTTTCATTGCCAATTGGTTTTGAGATAGAATCCCATGAATATTAATATGGTATCCGAGATCAAAAAGCTCAAACGAGCCTCCAGTCAAAAAATGGGATCCGACCAAGATCGATGGGTCAAAAAAAGCAACGATCTTGAGAGAACATGTTAAGGATCCCACAACATATTAATATAGTTTTAATTCAATATTGGGTTTGGTTCGATTCGCATTTGGTCGATAAAAAAAATTTCCTAAATCGAAAACCAAACTGAATATTTGGTCATAGAAAAAACTATAAGAAAGAATTTTGGCTGGTCTATTTTCTTGCTATCTTTTAATAAAATTAGCTTGGGGCCATCTAGTATGGTATGGACTGTGTGGACTTGGGGAGCAGGACGTGGCGTTTTTCATGTCATGGATTTGCTAAATAAATTATTATTATTATTATTATTGTGACGTGTGAGAGGCTGCATCTGCCAAGTGCCACATGCACTGCACGCTTGTCTCCAGAAAATCAAATGCAAACAAATTTGCATTTATATTCTTCTGATGCTCAACGACAAAAATGTCTTTGCCATAACATTTGTCTTTTCTCCCTTCCCTTCCCATATTTTTCCTGCCATTTGTGCAAATCACTTAAAAACACAATGATGCTAAATAAACTATTCCTTTGAGATTAACTTTTAGGAATTATCATAAATTTTCGTTACCCCAATTCATAATCTGTTAAATTTATGTCTTATCGATCATGAATGCTTCTAATCATGTCCGATTATTGATCTAATCTTATCCATACAAAAATTTATGTCTCCTCATTGAACTCCCAAGTTTTTTATTTTTTTATTTTTATTTTACTTTTATTAAAGTGTTTTCTAACTAATAAAATATGTGCCACATGTTTGTAACCTTTGCATCCACGTACTTTTTTTTTTAATAATAAATAGAAAATAAATAATAATAATTTATTATTCGCAAATATTTCCTTTCCCTCGCTTCTCGCTCTGTTATCTGTTTCATTCTCGTTCTTCTTGGCCATGGCGTTCTCCACTTAAACGCATTCGCCAGTCTCAGCAGAAGCAGAATCCCCATGGCCTTGGCTCCCAACTTTCAGGTAATCCATTTCTGGTAGCATTCTCCACTTCATATTGGCATTTTAGTTTGAATAGAGCAACGACGGAGCATGGAAGGAGGGTTTTAGTTTATTTTCCTGTCGGTTTTTGAAGTGTTTGGTTTGAATCAGCGAGGATTGGATGAATTTGTTTTATAGTTTCTTAGTTTAATCTGAAGGAATAAGCTCATTTTGTGTTTGGAGTCGATTTCGAATTGAAAAATCAGGAATTAACGTTTTCTTTCTTGAGGATGAATAGGTGGAGATGGAGAGAAGAGATTTTGAGAGCAAAATCAGAGGTGGATTAGTCAGAGCAGCTATTAACCAATATGGAGATGGAAAAGTAGATGGTATTTCATGGAAGAAATCACTTCCCAAAGACTCCTCAGAGTCAGAGGTATGCATCATTTTTAAGAGCTTACAGGTTTAGCTTTAACTGGCCTGTACTGTATCATCATGAAAAGTTTTACTGGAAAGAAGTTGAAAGTCAGGGTAAACATCTCTCTTATCCAATTGCAGTATTCCTCCAAGGCAAGAGAGCTCCAAAAGGCAAAGACAGACATTGAGCATATTAAAGAGAGTATAAATGCAGCAGATTCCTTGAAAGCCCAAGCTCAACTTGAGCTCCTCAACGCCAAAAGCACAGTGAAAAAGCTCTCTTCCCTTTTTGAGAAATCAAATGCCACAGTGCAGGCGCATAAGCGGGAACTTGAAACATTGAAGAAGTCGGGACGGGTCCAAGAACCGCGGGTGGCTGTTGCAAGCAGTGAGAATCATGAGTATGCAGAGCTGATGCAGGAATTGAAATTTGCAAAACAAGAATTAAGCAAACTCAAGCTTGATGTGGCTTCTGTTTTTGATGAGAAATTGCAGGCAGAGAAGGAGAAAGAAGAAGCCATTTCGAAATTTCAATCCTTGTCAAGTTCCATTGAAGAGCTAAGGAAGGAGATTGATGAAATAAATGAAGAACAAGTACTAGTTGAGTTAGCCCAGATAGAGGCTTTGAAAGAGTTTCAAGAGATTGAAGCCCAGAGAAGCATGGAAGCCAATGAATTCTTACGTGCAATTGAGAACAAGAGGAAACATATTAATGATCTTGCTCAAGAGGTTGAAGGCTTAAAAGAGCTAGAAAACAAATTGAGTGTCACAATGTCAGATGTAAATGTGTTGCAGAGGGAACTAAACTTGGTCAAGGAATTAGGCATGAAAGCTCAGAGAAAAGTTATGATGACAGAATTGGAAAATAAACCTCAGGTAGAAGAAGATGAGCTTTTGTTGCAATCAATCACAGAAGAACTCAAGACTGCAAAGAAAGATTTGGCCTCAATACGAGATGAAGGATTTCAGGTCATGACTTCGATGGATGCCGTACGGAGGGAACTGAAGAATGTCAAGGAAGAAATTGCTAATCTGAAGAAACCCGATGAAAGAACCGATTCAATTGTTCAAAAGCTGAACTCTAAGCTGCTTAGAGCGAAAGCCAAATTGGAGGCTGTATCTTCAGCTGAAGAGAAAGCTGAATCAATTGCTTCTAATCTGTCACTCGCTATAGATCAAATGAAGAAAGAAACGGAGGCTGCAAAGAAAGAAAAGGAGCTTACTGATGAAGAAATAAAATATACCAAAGCAGAGATCCAAAAGACCGAATCGGAAATCGACTTGAATGAGGAAAGATTACAAGATGCCTTGCGAGAGCTTGAAGCAGTGAAGTCTTCTGAGGCCTCGGCGCTCGCAAAATTGAAGGCACTTACTGAAAGTACAATGAGATCTAGAGCTACTGCAACCAAGAATAGCTCCTTTATCACTATCTCTAGTTTCGAACACGAGTATTTAGCTGGTCATGCGGTTGCCGCTCAAGAAATTGCTGACAAAAAGGTTGCAGCTGCTCAAGCTTGGATTGAAGCCATTAAAGCAAGTGAAGTTGAAACAATAAAGAAATATGAATTAGCCGAACTGGAAATCAACGCGATGAGAATGGAAGAAGAGAAACTGGCATTCAGGGCAAACAGATCACTCTCTGCAAAAAGAATGGTGGAGAGAGAGTTGCAGAACTGGAGACAAAAGCGCGAGAAGAACGAAGAAGAAGCTGAAAACTTGCAACCAGCAAATCGTCAAAAATCCGTTAGGAGAAATGGGAGCATGACACCATCAAGGCGACTCAAGTTCCGGATATCGTCCTCACCATCACCTCACATGATGAATGGAGCTACCTCATTTTCAATGAAGAAGAGAAGGAAGGTTGTGAAAAATCTTGCCCAGTTCTTCAATGGCAAGAAAGCCGAATTGAATCTTTGAATTGACTGAAAGCATCTTTCTGCTGAATGAGATTGTTTGTATCAGAAGCTCCAGGGTCCCATCAACTTTTGATTCTGCTTATTGGAGAAAACTAAATTCCAGAATCCAGATCAAAACAAATTCTGCCTTGAGGTATTTATCATTATGCAGCCTCATGGCTCTGTACACTAACTGCAGACTGCAGTTTCCTGTTCTCTTATGACTTATTATCATACACAGAAATCTGTTTCTTGATCCAAACAGAGTTTTTTTTAGTCATTATTTAAAACATACATGTTTTAATCTTTTATGCTTATTTATTTATTTTTAAATTTAGTCATGATTTAAAAATTTTTAATTTAGTATCTTGAAGGTGATGATAAATTTATTTTAGTGCAAAAATGAAGATAAATAGATTCAAACTTATGACCTAGACATGTGTCAATTATCGATAAGCTAATTCTATCGATAATTTATTTTTATTTTTGTTTTTGTTTTTTTTTAATAAAAAGAAAAGCACAAAAACAAAAAGCACATCAATGACAACTAGCATGTTGAATGGAAAGTCCGACATCTTCATGCAGATCTCTGACTCGCTGGCGCTTCCTCCAGCCAAATGCCCTAGACGACCTCCTCCACCGTAAGTTTCGTCGTCCCATGCTCCAATCGATTGCAACTTCTACGGCAATAGCCAATAGGTAAAATTAAGTTCATGTTGGCAAATTACAATCTACGGCAATAGCCAATAGGTAAAACTAAAACTAAGTTTATGTTGGCAAATACGTAGTGAACCGGCAAATTATTGATAAAGATTCAGAGAAGGGTATAATTGAAAATGATTAATATGTTAAGGGATAATTATTAATATGTTAAGGGATAAATTTCAAAAAGGGCCAACATATGTAGGCAATATGTCCATTCATCATTTGACTTGCAGGATTGCAGCCTCTCCAATCCCGCCGTACTCATCTTCATTCAAAACTTTACACGTTTCCACGAATGGTGGAAACAAAACAAACTTTGTCTGTTTCTTACAACTTCTTCCACTACAAACAAATTTTAACCTAAAAATTCCAGCAAATTTCGATCTACAATCAGCCCAGCAAGAATCGCCTCCAATTACGCTGAAATCACTCCAAATGGACCATCTTTAGCATTCACAAACCACAGCAGCCTTCTTGTTTTCTTTCCCAACAGTCAAACTTACTGGTTCCTGATTCTGATTAGGAAACTTCTGGCTTTCCACTTTGGTACTTATTTGAAGGGAAACACTCTTTTAGATTGTAACAACAACAAAACAATATGGTTTTACTGGAGATTTGCTTTGCTTTCATTGTGAGCAACCATTTTTCATTTGTGTCTTCTCTGAATGAAGAAGGATTGGCTCTACTTTCCTTCAAAAACTCGACTTTCGACGCTCAAGGCTTTCTCCGAAACTGGAACTCTTCTGATGCGACACCGTGTTCGTGGAATGGAATCACTTGCACAGAACAAAGAGTTGTCTCTCTCGGTATTGCAGACAAGAAACTCTCTGGTACTCTCCACCCTGCACTTGGGAAACTTGCGTCACTCCGCCATTTAAGCCTCCGAAACAATGAGCTTTTTGGAAGCTTCCCGGCTGAGCTCTGCAACCTGGTAGAGTTACAAAGCTTAGACCTCTCTCAAAATGTCTTCAATGGTTCCATTCCAGATGGGTTTGGTTCCCACTTGACATCTCTTCAGAATCTCAATCTTTCCTTCAATGTGATCCACGGTTCGATCCCTCAGAACTTTGGCAACCTGTCCAACTTGAAAGGTACTCTCGACTTGTCTCACAATGTCTTTACCGGTCCAATCCCGCCGAGCCTAGGCAGCCTCCCTGCGACCCTTTATATTGATCTCAGTTACAATAATCTCACTGGCTCAATACCACCACAAGAAGCTTTCCAGAACCTTGGACCAACGGCTTATGTAGGCAATACCTTTCTATGTGGACTTCCCCTCAACGTTTCATGTCCATCCGTAGTGCCAATGTCGAACCCCGACTCCAAGTCTTGGTTCCATTGCCCATCACACGGGAAAGGTGGAAAATCTTGCTCCATATTCGCACTTTCTGCAAGTATCATAGTTGGTTTCTGCCTGGTTATCCTGCTAGTTTTGTGGTGCAAGAGAACTAATCCTCCTAAAGGGGGTGTAAATCCAGATGGCTGTAACTTCAGAGAGGCATTGATGTTTAAAACAGAGTTTTCTTGCTTTGCAAAATATGAAGTCGAGCCCCTACCAGCAAACATGGAGAAGTACAACTTTGTGCTATTGGACCGGCATGTCGACTTTGATATCGAGCAACTCCTGAAAGCCTCAGCTTATCTTCTAGGCAAGAATGGGAATGGGATTGTGTATAAAGTGGTTCTTGAGAAAGGGCTAAGTCTGGCTGTAAGAAGATTGGAAGATGGAGCTTATGAAAGGTTTAAAGAGTTCCAAACTGAAGTTGAAGCAATTGGGAAAGTCAGACATCCAAATATTGTTGGCCTTTTAGCTTACTGCTGGTCTGTTCAAGAGAAGCTGCTCATACATGAGTACATACCACAGGGAGACCTGGCCACTGCAATTCATGGTAAATTTTCAAAACCCTTCTCAACAAACGGATCAATTTTACATCAACAAGGATGGGTTAAATTACAAATTAAAAAGTTCTATATAATTTGATTTCTTTCCTTAACCTTGTCAATGAAATGATGATGTGACATGCTTATTAACTAAATGCATATTCAATCGGCTTGTCATGCCATCATCAAACTTGTTTACAATTTAACCAACTGGATTCTTCAACTCATATTTAGAGTGAATTGGAGAGTGTAATTTCCAATATTCCTCAGTAATGCTTATGTTTCTAATAACACATTCCAATATCCAACCAGGAAAAGCAGAAATTTCGTACTTCAGACCACTTTCTTGGCCCGATCGTGTGAAAATCATGAGAGGAATAGCAAAAGGATTGGCACACCTTCACGAATTCAGTCCAAGAAAATACGTCCATGGCGATTTGAAGCCCACCAACATTCTGCTCGGAAACAACATGGAACCTTACATCTCGGATTTCGGACTCGGACGACTTGCTAATGCCGCCGGAGATTCCACCGGCTCCCCGTCGGAGCAAACCGCGGCCGCCACGCCGCGGCAGCAAAACTCTCCGTTCCGATCAAACTCCATGTGCTCCTCTGTGTCGATAGGGTCCTATTATCAAGCTCCCGAAGCTTTGAAGACCGCAAAACCGTCGCAGAAGTGGGATGTTTACTCATTCGGTGTGATTTTACTCGAAATTATCTCTGGAAAGTTGCCGGTGATTCAAGCTGGGTCGTCTGAAATGGAGCTGATTCAATGGATTCAACTTGGTATTGACGAAGGAAAACCCAGATTGGATATCTTAGATCCGTCATTGGGTGAGCATGTGGACAAGGAAGAAGCCGCAGCCGCCATTACAATAGCTGTTACTTGCACCCGCAAGAGCCCTGAGAAGAGACCCTGTATGAGAACTGTCTCTGAATGTCTGGAAAAATTGGCAACTTAACGAAATTGAAAGTTCAATGTGAACTTTGAATATTATCAAATCAGAGATGATTACGCTGCTGAGAGATTGAGAGTTTCTATTCTAAACTAGTGTATTAGAAAGTATCTGCACAATTTTGTAGAAACTAAACCCAATTGTTTTTGGGACATATATGAAAGGTTGAGAATTTCTATGGGGTGCAATTATCGCTTTGCTTGACATGAATACCATTTCATGTGACAACTCTGCGATAATCCAAATTAAGCATTTATCATCACGCCACTATAAATTATGATAGAGAACCATAAAGCCGGGGCGTAGATAGGGAAGAAGATAAGTTAGTCCTTCATTGCACCAAACTTCGCAAAAAGAAAGAGAGAAACAGAAAAGGAAAAAAATCAAGCAGCTATAGCTACGGAGGGCAAGGAGATGGAGATGGAGATGTTTGAAGTTGGCCCATGTGAATCCGCATACCAAATGGGGTTCTCCATTGGCGAGAGGTTCTCTGATACAATAAAGAGCAGATTGGACAATGACCTCGTTCTTCGCGACCAGCTCCTTCCTTTTGCTCAGACCCCACAGTCGCAGCCTCTTATCCAAGCTCTCTGCAATAACAACAAGAACAAGTTTCCCAGATACTGGGATGAACTCATCGGAATCGCAGAAGGAAGTGGTGTGCCAATTCTTGAGGTAATAATACAAACTCTAGATTTAAAGACAGAGAGACGAATGCAAGTCGAGGTGTGAGAACTCTAGCATCCAGTGGATAAAGTGAGATATTTTGTTTTTGCTAATTTTAGAAAATGGAGTTAAAAAAGGATAAAAGATCAAGTGTGGAAATAGTACCTGGTTTTCTGTTCTGTCTGTGATGTCTTGAAAATCAATATGCAGATCATTCTAATCAACTTCAGGAAGGAGATTCTTCCCTTTCTTCAGAAGGAAGTGCCTTCAGTTGTTGATTGTTCAGATGATTGTTCTGATATTCTTGTTGTTAGTGATTCCATGGCCATTGCAGCACATAATGAAGATGCCAACGTTGCTCTGGTTGGCCACACGTAAGTTCACAAAATTGAACTCCCAGTTTTATCAAAAAGCTCACCAGACTTGAACAAGTTCCATCTTTTTGTACACCTCTGTAGCTATTTGGTCAAAGCAAAACTGCAAAATGGGCTATCTTTTCTTGCTTATACCTACGCAGGAGAGCTTCCGAGCTGCGCTTTTGGTTTTAATGGCCATGGACTGGTAAAGTTTTCATACCAGCACCATTTGAAGGAATTTAAAGAGCTCTACATAGATCTTGAGATATTGAAAACTGATAAATAACATCTTTTTCAATGTAGGCCAATTATTTTGATACCGAACGCTAAAAAATAACACCTTTCCAATCTTTTAGGCATTCACCCTGAATTCAGTGCCTCCGACCAATGATGAGGTTGCAGCTGGGGCAATCGGACGGAACTTTATCTCCCGGGACCTCCTTGAAACTATAAGCCTTGAAAATGCGATACTTGTAAGACCATGCAACAATGTCTTCTATTATAGCTGTTCTAGCTTACCGGAGCAGTTCCGAAACATAACACATTGGATTGGATTCTCTTTGCAGAGAATTCGCTCAGCAGAAGTATCCGTCGGGCACAGTTATAATCTGATTGATGTTCAGACAAGAAGAATTGTGAATGTAGAAACAGCATCAAGGTTTAGATTTTCAGCCAAGGAAATTGGGGCTACTCCATTTTTCCATGCAAATATGTATACCCATCTTCAGATTAACCAGGTAATAATCAGAAAAATCCACATATAAAGCAATGAAACCATGTAGTAATATAAGGTCTGCCTTTTCATTGAAAATGAGTAACTTGCATTCTTTAGCAATAAAATTTCTCCTCCGCACCTTTTCCATGACATTGCAATTTGAAATAGTTGCTACATAGCAGGCCAAAGATAAACCTGCCAAGTGATCATTTAAGATAAGGTTTTAAAGTCAAAATGAATTGTTTTGGAACGCAGGTACAAGATGAAAACTCTACAAGCAGGCAAAGACGAGCTGATGTCCTGCCAAAAGGATCAAGAAGCGAATTCCTGTCGATTCTTGGAGATACGGATAACAAGAAGTATCCTATCTATATGACAGGTAATTAAATATAAAGATGATTCAAATTGCCTAGTCCTATCAAACCTACATTTGAGCTCTTTTTTTTTATTGATGTCTTCAGGTCCTACGCTTTACACATTGTGTACTGCTCTAATTGACCTGGACGAACAAACTCTATCAATCATTCAAGGAAATCCGAAGAAAAACGTGATATCCCATGTCTTCTCCTTGCCGTTGGTGGGGTTGAAGAAACCATAAGCACACTGCTGCCTCCATATGTTACTAGTACCCAGGAAAGTTAATTCTGAGCTCTTATACAGGTTCATAAAGACCCAGCATATGGCCATCAATACATCTCATGGATGCAACCTGAAGCAAGTAATGACACTTTAAAAGCCTTTTTAATCATTTACGATCCAAGAGGAAGGAGGAGGGGAGTTTATACCTTTCCGTGTATTTCATACTTTATGGAACCATCTAGTTCAGCTCCCAATCCCATTAATTTGGTCACTGTGCTGTTAATATCTGTCACCGTGAATGATAGCAGCGAAGAATATCCCTTCTGCTGCACGATATGGTCGCTGTGACACTAAGTTAGCAGCTAGAGCATCCAATCAAGGCTAAAGCATCTAAATATGTGAAATTAAAGCCTCACATTTTAAAGCCAAACTGGGCGAGAAAAATTTGTTTGGAGTGATATACAACTCAAGTTGTTGCTTGTTTTCCTAACTCATATTAAGCAGAAAACAGGTTCATGCGCAATCTAAAGACTCAATACCTCACGATCACGGCCAATTCAGAATTGAAACAATTTTATAAATAGTACTTCACGAGCAAAACTTATAACAAACACCAAGAATTTTCATGAAATGTCCAGCAATCCGGTGCCCGCGTGAAAACCAAGTAAACTACATTATTCTCGTCTTAAAATTCAACTATCCACCAGAACAATAAAACCAACATAAAGTTTTTTTTTTCTTCCTCCAAATCTCCACGATTCATTCTTCCCTAAAATAAAAAAGCTTGCCTAATTAATATAAAATGGCACCTTTGTATAGCAAACTCGTTACCCATTGGCCCGATGAACCTCTGTACGAATACAAACACATTCAAACCAAAAGAGATGCAAAGAGCATTTAACCGTTTTTCATTCTTAATTTCTTGCAGGCATAACATCAAACACAAACAAGGCGTCTAACTGTGGCACGTTTTCTTCTGCATAAACAGATGAATTGAACACATGAAATGCTTGAATTTAGCAATTATTGGAGAACCAGAAATTGGGTAGTTACTTGTTTTGCATGAGAGCGAGTTTGAGAGGCCCGGACTGAAGCTCCGCCCAACGGAGAGTGCAGACGTTAACAGTGAAGTCCAAGCCCTCTGAGTAGAATCTTGCCGCTTTGGGGACGTCCCTGTGTAGTTGTAGTATCCACCTAAACGACGCTGCTGCCATGGCTCCCTTTCAAAAATTTTCACTGCATCACTGGCTTAGCCGGCACAAGGAAGACGATAAAATATAAAGGCTAGGCTTTGATTTGCTGTGGAAATAAACAAAACCAGGCACTAAAACGTATTCTCGAATTTACATAGACAAAAATGGCCGACAGAAGAACAAGAAGAGGCAATGGAGCTGAGCGAAAGATGAGCCTCCCAGTAGACCGGCGACGGAGACTGCAAATTCATGAAAAATTATGATGGGCGAGATCCCGAAATAAGGGAAAACGCAAAACTGTTCAATTATAATTTCCTAAATTTTCGATTTAAATTTAATAAATCTCTAAAATTTTTATTATTCGTCTAATAAGTACATGAAAAGTCAAAATAAATCTTTGAACCTTCCCATTTATGTCTAATAGACCCCGCACGGATTGTTTTTAAAATTCACGAAATTAATAGAGACAAAATTGAATTTTATATGGTCATAAATTTTTTATTTTATGTCTAATAAATGTACGAAATTTTTGAAATGTCTAATATATCATAGGTAAAAATTTATTAAACATAAATGAAAAGTTTTATTAGATACAAAATTAAAAATTTAGAAATTTATTAGAACTTCTGAAATTGCAAGTACCCCTTGAAAATCCAATTGTTTATTGAAAACACTTATTAGACAAAACTCCAAGCACTAAATTTGAAATTTAATTTATAAATTTATATTTAATTTTCTCATTCACTTTAGGGTAAATTATATATATATATATATATATATATATATATATATAAAGATAAATTAAACTATTATTTATTTCAAAACTAATATTCCTTCAAACATATAACTTTAACTATCTCTTATATATGTTATTTAACGCTCCTTTTTATGCCTCAAATAGTAATCATTGGTCATATTTATTCAGTCATTTTATTTTCATTCTTCATGTTTTAACCTCATTTCTCAATATTGTAATATTTTTATGCTGCATCTCAAAAACCTTTTCGATTTAGAATGATAATTATTAATTAACGTTAACAATTTTCAAAACATCCCCAGAGAAAACAGAAGGAAGGGAAAAAGAAAAATCAAAGCAAACCGAACGAAAAGAAAAAGAAGAAAGAAATCTAAAATCAGGGTAAAGGCTCCCCTTCCATTCCGGTCCCCTGTCTTCTGAGTATTTTATTTTGGCGTACACTCCCTCTAGCCAGCGCCGATCTTTCCCTCTCACAAACCCAAATGGACCCACCTCAGCCACCGTCACCGCCACAATCTGCCGCCTCGATCAAGCTCCGGTTGATGTGCAGCTACGGCGGCCGGATAACCCCACGGCCGCGCACCAAGTCCCTCTGCTATTTGGGCGGCGAAACCCGCATAATCTCCGTCGACCCAGCCGCAGTCAACACCCTCTCCGCCTTCATCTCCCATCTCCTCACCATCCTCGCCATTACACCTCCCTTCACCCTCAAGTATCAGCTCCCTCACTCCGCCCTCGACTCCTTAATCTCCCTCTCCTCCGACGACGACCTCCAATTCATGCTCTGCGAGCACCTCCGCCTCTCCTCCTCCATTTCCACCGCTTCTGCTCCCTCTCGCATTCGGCTCTTCGTCTTTTTTCCCGAGCCGGAGAAGCCCACGACGGCCCAAAACGTTATTCATCACCCGAAGACCGAGGCCTGGTTAGTCGATGCGCTTGAGAGTGCCAAGATTCTGCAGAAGGGCCGCGATTGCTCGGTGGGATTTGATGGGGAGGGTCTGATTGGAGAGAATGAAGGAAAGGGTGTTGGAGATTTGGGTACTGGGGGTGTTTCCTTGGCGGAATCAATGGTTCTGGAGACCAGTTCCTCTTTTGGATCATCTTCTTCTTCAGCTTCTTTGGCTAACGTGCCTCTCATTAAACCTCTGAATGAAGACTTTGCATTCAGTTCGCTGGATAATGCTGTCGCAAGGTACCTCTTGTTCTTCATGTTTATGGTTTTACAAGTTTTATTATAGTGTCTCGTAGTTTAATTTAATCTCTCTAAACATCTCTTATACTTTTAGATGTGACATGCTTTTTTCTTTTGGACGTAACAGGGATTGGATTGGATGAGCTGACATTTCTGTATAATGTATATGGAGAGTTTAAATTGGTTATTTGTATTGAGGTTTGAATTGGGTTTTTCTAGAGTGTCTTGCATCTTTCAAAACTCTAATTCTAAGAAAAGAGTTAACATTTGGCAATGACGTGAATATTTCCAGTAAATAGGTTTTAGATTTGGACTCTAAACCTTTATTTCCCCTAACATCATACAGAATTACAGCATTAAGTTATCTTTGTATCTTGAGCTCTGATAGTGCAGATTTCTAATAGCTGAAAGAACTTGTAATCTTTACAGCGAGATCGCCGCCACCAGCTCTTGTTCTTCAATTGAGAATGCGGTTATGTCTATCCCTGTGATATCAGAGAGTTACTTTCATGACCCCGCTGCTGGAATTCATCCCCAGAACGCCATTGATTTTTCAGGCTATACACTAGCTCCCCGACCAAACTCTTTTCAGCCGCAGGCATTGCAGTTTGTTCAAGCAGGCACTCCGGTAGAAAGCTGCCTTCCTTCTATGTTTCCAATGGCTTCTTACTATCCAGCCCAGCAGCCTCAGTTTCTCCATTACCAGCCGATGCCGAACCATATGTATCCTCTCTACTTTTTGCCTGTTGGACAGACACAGGTTTCAACCCCTTCCAACCTACCTATGCAGTGGGGCTTGCGTGACGCTGCAACTGGGAGTTTGAGCCACGCTTTGGTTCCCGATGCTTCTCCTGTTGCTCTTTCTCAAGTAGCTTACAAGGAGGTGATTCCTGAGCCACACCCACAGAATTTTGGAGCGACACCACCTCTTGCAAATCCAGTTGCTTTGGAGCCTGCTGATGAAGTTCGGCAGCAACCTGTGAGCATTTCTAATGATGCTGCAGTTGCTCTATCTGGTGAAGTTGCTCGTATTCGTAATGAATGCAACGACGATGATCTTGCAAGGACTCAAATATACAAATCTCAGCCTCCACCACCCCTGGTTCCTTCCCAGTTGCAAAGTAAAGCTAATGCCTCGACGACCCTTCTGTCAGATGCGATGGCTCAGCTACAGATGATCAAAATCAAACAATGAATTGGGAGCCTGAAATCACAGAGAGTAAGAGATTTTGATCACCCAATTTTGTGGGATTTTTTTTTACTATATGCATACCCTTTCTGAAAATGAACTTGTTTTATAGGTGTAAAGACGAATTCTTGTTCTTTTACTTACTCTTTTTTTCATTTCATATTGTTTTCTTATTTCTTTGGTCAATATGTTAATGGGGAGAAATCATCTATATATATATATATATTTATATATTTGTGTAATTTTTCTTCTTTCAGTGTGAAGGATGCATAAAAGAAGTGACTATATTTAGTGTGTGTTCAGACTAATTTGCATCTTCTGATCTTATTAAATTTGGTTGTCAAGGTAAATTCATATGACATTAAATTCTAGGTAAGTGACTACTGTGGTTTGAACTCATTTTCTCTACCCTAGGATGGTGATGTGATTTTATGTTTTATTTGGTGTTTCTCATTTTTTAGACGGATAATCTCTAAAAAGAAGTGATTTGATGGCCTAGGTTGGTGATTCAAGTTGGTTTCTTCCTTCTTGATTTTATGTCATAGGTTTACGAAGTTTTTTTTCTTTTGTGAGATAAGGTTTACAAAGMTTGGAGTCGAGATGTTTGAATCTATACCATTTGAATTTGGATTACGCAAGAAAAAAATAGGTCGTAGAAATTTAAGTTGTGGATTTGTGATCTGTAAAAGATAGTATTAAAAAACATGAGTTTACAGATAGATGGGGGGTTTAATGAATCTGTAACGTATGATAAGTAATTATTCATGTGGAGGGAGAATTCTGTCCTTCTCTATGTATTGCAAGGTAAAATTAGAGTGTAATAAATACAAGCTCAAAAAAATAGTAACAGTAAAAAACATACAAGGTAAGACAAATAAAGTGTAGTGAATCACGTGTTTTTTTTTATTACAAAAGTTTATGTTTTTTTTAGTACGAGATGTGGGCTATATTCGGTTGCGGAGTTTATATCCATTGATAATATCTTTTGTCGGGATTCATTGATTATTCATAGATACTACCAAAGTTGAACCCAAAGAAAATGAGAGCATATCATTCCTTATCAATTATTCATTGGTTCCAGAATTGATTGCATTTTCAGGCAATGGCGCCATTGGAGATATTGGAAGTCTGCAAAATCAGTCCTTCTTCTCCGGCGGCTGATTTCTCTCTTCCTCTCACCTTCTTCGATCTATTTTTCCTTGCAAGCTCTCCCACCGAGCGCATTCTTTATTACCATCACCACTTCGATTCCTCTTCAGTTCTTCCCAAACTCAAACG